CTGCTCAATTTAAAAGGCTCCAATGCTTGTTTGGCCAGCTTATGTAAGGTCTGCCATGTTAATATGCAAATAAGATTTTGTAAATATAAGATTATAATTTAGTTTGGTCTTAAGGCAAAAGAACCAATATTCCTTCATATTGATATATTTTATAAGTGATTATAATATTTTGTCTAGTTTAAAAATTACTGAGCACTGTGTGGATCCTTTAGTAAAAAAATTAGACAATATGAGACCTTGTTTTACGTTATACCTAAAAATAAATGCATGTGCAGAATACTTATAATAGAGTGATAAATATTCAATGTAAAATTCCACATTTTCTGACATTAGAGCACAGTAGGTAGTGTGTAATGAACTCTTGGAAAATATGATCAAGCATATGGCCTCATTTTATTTGAGTCCTTAGTGTAATGCTTTGATTCAATTTTCTCATAATTCTTTGTTTAATATGCATAAATTGGCCTTAGTTAAATAAAAAGGAAGTATTTAATATGCTTTGACTCATTTGAATTGTAAAAAGCCCACCTGAAAAATGTCTGTTTTTCAATATTGAAATCACATTAGCCTGTATTTATTGTATAGAATTCTAAAAGTATTTAAAGTGTCTACCCAAATTGGCTTAAATTTGTTCTCAATAATCATTAGCAATTGATATTATTCTTAGAGATGGTGAAAGACTAAAATCTATAACATTACTATCCTAATGACTATAACCAATTGACTGAAGAATGACTAATTTCTTTTTTCAGCCAACAATGTATGGTAGTGATCAGCAGTGATGTGTAGAGACAATGAGTAATTGAAATTCACTGATGTGCTTATTACATTATAGTTTTTGATCTTGGCCTGCTATATACTTATGTTAACTTGTTTTGGAGGAAGCAACATTTGATAACCATTTCATCAGAAGAACGAAAATTCTTAGATAAGAAAACTGAAATGAAATCAGTACGTCAATCTCATTCATGTGTACCTGCAAAGGGATTTATTTTATAGCATGGTCAGACAAAGAGATGTTGTTGTGTACTATTCTGAGAAACAAAGACTTTCTATTAAAATAATAATACTAATAATAACAGTAATGATAATATTTAGTGATACTGTTCTGGTATTTCCCGTTAGAGTCTTGGTTATCATCCAATATATACAGTAAAACATAAATTTGTCTCTAAAGCACTATACTCAAAATCTCATAAAGAATTTGAAGGGTATTTCAGCTATAAAGGAGGTCTGTGTTTCTGATGTTCCTTGCATACATCTAGCTGTACTAGGCCTAGAAAGAGAAAATATTGACAGACACACACAGCTGTGAGCTCAGGACTCAAGGAGGCTGCAGCAGAAGGACTGCAATGATTCTCAAGCCAGTCTGGTATAAATAATAAAGTCAGATTAGACTGACTAATAAAGCCAAATCTTACCTCAAGTAAATACATAATAGATCAGTCAGAGAAACAGACAGAAATATAGACACATGCAGAGAAACAAATATTGCACATCTTCCCTACCTCATCCCTACTCCACAAGTGCATGGACAAATAAGAACTTACCCAGGAATCTGAATTTACATTAAAATTTATAAAGTTCTTGTATGAGGAGAATGCAGGAATGAATCATGATGAAAGATGGTTTCAAAACAAGTGGTGGTTTCTCACTAAATGTTAACTTATATTAATTATGTTTAAGACTAAGAAAGGTAACATTTTTTATTCTTTTCTCAAATTAATTACCTAGAAATTATATTATAGAACTTCATTTGTCTTACTACATTTCTTTGATCTCTACCACCTTTTTAATTGCAAAACTATAATTCTAGCTAGTACAATACCTCCTTTTTATAAAATTTTATATTATGATATTTAGCTTTAAGTTTAAAGCATAGATTCCAGCTTATTCACTAAGAATTTCAAAGGTCATATCAATTGCTTATCATAATATTATGGTTTTCCTAAGTGAATCTAATTCAACAAGTTATAATTGCCTGAACAATAATTAGAATTACACATTAATGGGGAAATACACAAATCAAAAGATTTATATATAAAGATTTAAAATTAATGGAAATAATATAAAAAGTCAATCCCAAATGTTGAAAAAAGTTTGGAGTAGTATTTCCTTAGTTGCAGACATGTTAAAATATTTTAATTGACTTTATTCTTGATAAATTGGGTTAAGAAAAATTAATTTAGATAATGCCCTGCAGGACTTCTCTAAAGTAAGAATTTCTGATGTTAAGAAAATCTGTTGGAAGACATTTAAATTTTTTTCATGAGAAATGATTGCTTAAAATAGTGTAATGGTCTCCCCAGATGGCTCGGTGTATAAAGTGATTTCTGTATGAACATGAGAACATGAGTTTAAATCTCTACGACTCTAAAAATGGCCGGGAATGGTGGTATTAGCCTGTACCTCCAGCATGGGGGAAGATCTAGAACATGGGATCCCTGGGACTCCCTGGTCAATCATTCTGGCTTAATCTGCAAGCTCAAGGTTCAAGAAGACTTATTCAAGCAATAAGGTCAAGAGCAATCAGGGGAGATATGCAAAGTTAAATTTCCAAGATGCTCACGTACACACACACACACACACACACACACACACACACACACACACACAGTGATGGTGTATTGGATGGGGAAGAAAAATGTATGTAGCTGAGAGTTATGAAGAAATATACTTCCTCAAACAAAAGAATATATTGACTGACTTTGTTAAATATTACTTTGATAGAAACTTTTCACAATTGGTGTCATATTACCAGAATAATATTTTTAGTAGTATTTATAATAAGTAAGCAATGTTCTCAAATGTCTAGGTATTGACCCCTAACTTCATAGAACATGTATAGTGGAACTGACCTTTGGAAGAATGTAATAATGAGTAAATTCAGTTTCTTTGAATAGTTATGTCAAATAGTTTGGATGTAATATATATTCAAATATACTTTTATTTACATTATAATTATTAAATCATGCATCTTATTGGGGATTTCTAAGGCATTTAAACATTAAACAGCTGCATATAGAAAAATCTTGAAAATATGATTCCATTTCTTATGTAGAGTTTTGAATATTTATTAACAGAGTTTAAATATATAATTTATTCATTAATATCTAAAATGTCAGTGTTCTGTTATAATTATTAGCTATTTATTGTTGTATATAGAGGAAGCAGCAATATTGAATAAAGTTGTGGTCAAGTTTATTAATGATTACAGGCGTTGAGTTAGTACACTGTTGACTCAATAAATGTTAATATTTTTAGAACACAGCAGAAATATTAATTCATATACTTCTGTGTCCTTAGAAATGCTGTAAGATGCTGGCCAAAGTCTTGTAATATATCCTGTATCATAGAAATAGAAACAGTTTAGTTAATGTTCCTACAACCTAGGATTCAATCAATATAAGTGTCTGAAAGGCATGGGTCTGGGATGTAAAACTACTTTACACATCAGATCATTGCTAAACTCAGGTGGAGTATTACATGGCATATTATAATAGCGTTCACATCGATCATGTTGTATGACTTCATGCGCTCACTATCATTTAATATACTCAAGGGAGACATTGGTTCATCATTAATCTTATTTCTAAAGCACATTTGCATTAGCTATTCAATCTTTTTAATAACAAAGGAATAGGAAACCAAACAGAGTGCAACCAAATATGTGAGTGAAAGCATCAATGTGGATCACAGAGTACTTAGAGTGCTTCTCATAGAACATACAGAGAATTCAATCCTGTTAGTCTCTAAACAATTTAGAACAGTTATGATTTTCAGAAATAAAATAAGTATCTATTAGAAAGCTTTAACAATCTACACAAATTTACAGAATAAAAATGGCCTAAAACAATGATAAAACATAAGTAATTGTTCTTGTCAAAGGCCTTTATATGTGCATACTTGGCATAGATCATAGAATAGAAAATGATAGATGTTTGTACCATTATAATTCCATACTTTTTATTGAATGTGGCCAATGAATATCTCTTATGCAAAAGGCTCTGTTCTAGACACTGAATATAACAGTAAGGAAAAATTATACTTATCTAATTTCTGCAAGAGACTTTTATGTGTTAACAGAGTGTATAATTGGTAAAAATTAAAAAATATAGAGTTCAAGGTGGTACAATAAATTCCAGAGTACATATCAGAGAGCAGGGAGTAGGCTATTACCACAGTAGATATTACACATTATAGTCCACGGTGAAGGCAGAAGTGTGGTAAGAAGTGCTCAGATCTTGCATTGTATTACACATATATCTGGTACCAGTAGATTCTTCTCATCTCTATTTCTAAGTGTATTACAAACCAGTTCACTGGAGTAGTGTCTTTTATACTTAGGGAAACCCTAGCAATCTTTTGGATGAACTCAGTAGAAAGGAAGATCCTTTCAGCAGAAGACTTTTGCATGTGTTTGTTTCTTTCTGTTTAATTTTTTTGTAATATCTGATCAAGTTTCAAAAATATTGTTATTGCCTTTCATGGTCCTCATAATTCTTATATCTTATTTAAATAAAATGTTATTTTCAAAGTTTAATTGTATGCTAAATTCTCAAAAACTTGACATGCAAAATGGCGTCTTTCTACTTCACTTAGAAATGATAAGTCATTAAAACAGTGTCATCAGAGAAAGAGTCATGGATAGTCTTTAAACAGTGTACTTGAAAGAAATTAGTTATCACTGTTTTTCTTAAATTTTAGATAGTCTATCAGACAAATAATGTTTCCTAAAACTGATCATTATTTTAAATAAAAGAAAAAAAGAATATTTTATTTTGCACTTATACTAAATCATTTTCGTGTTAAAATTGTAATCAAAAAAGATCAAATTATTTTCCACTAACTATTTTTAATGTTTGTTTGCTTGAAGCTCTTGGAAATACGTCCACAGCGTTATTGAAATGTTGGAGGCCAGCTGAGACCCAGTGAGATCTGATGCCATAAACAGGACTACTTTCTCATCGTCCAAACTAGAATTTTTCAAGAAGTGAACTATGACGATCTATCAGTTCTTGAGACTTTTTGTTCTCTGGGCATGCCTACCCCACTTCTGCTCTCCTGAGTTAATGTTCAGAAGGACTCCTGGGCTTCAGCAAATGATTGCAGAAGCCCGCGTCCCAAGAAGTGATGGTAAAATCCTTCACCGCCAAAAACGTGGCTGGATGTGGAACCAGTTCTTCTTACTGGAAGAATATACAGGATCTGATTATCAATATGTAGGCAAGGTAAGTAAACTTGTGTTGGAAAGGTAAATGCTTATAGTCTTGACTTACATGTCTAATAAAAGAATATTGAAGGTCATTGGGATTCCGGTGACTGTAAATTTGTTAATCTAAACATTCCCAACTCCTTTTTATTCATGTAACACCAACTGTACTTTGAGAAACTGAGAGATGCATGTAACATCTTGCAAAGTGGATAGATAGCCTGAAGAAACCATCCCCTGTAATTAGATTCATAACTACCCTGATAGCCATCTGAGAGCCTTCACCCAGTGACTGATGGAAACAGATGCAGAATTCCACATCCGATTACTAGGCTGAGCACAGGGAATTCTTTTGAATAGAGAGAGGAAGGATTGTATGAGCCAGGGTGATCTACATCATCACAAGGAAGCCTACAGAAATTACTAACATGGGCTCACAGGAGCTCCTACTCTCTGAACCAGAATTGAGGGAGCCTGCATGGGACCTACCTCGGCCCTCTTCAAATGTGTGGCAGTTGTGTAGCTTGATTTACTTGTGAGACTACTAGTAGTGGGAACAGGGCCTGTCCCTAATCAGGTGGCTTGTCTTGCCCAGCCTTAATAAAAGGGAGGAGCTTAGTCCAACTTCAACTTGATATGCCATGTTTTGTTGACAACCAAGGGAAGGCCTGCCCCTTTCTGAACAGAAACAGAGGAGTGGATAGGGTGGAGAGTGCAGGACAGAATGGGAGGAGTTGAAGGAGAGGAAACTGAGGTATGGATGTAAAATAAGTGAATAAATTTAATAATTATTATAGTAATATAATTATAAATAATTATAATAATTATAATAATATTGTCAGAACTCATTACAAGCATCACTTTTTGATCTCACAAATTCAGAAGCTACTGAAAGTAAATTTTTATGTAAACTATTTTTAATGCATTTTTTTAAATGACCATCTTTGTGTAAGTTAGCATTAATGTTTACTACAGCAAAGATATATAAAATGCATATTTAAGTTTTTACAAAATGAGATACACATAGATAATATAATTGTCCCAAGGGCAATTATATAGCTTGCTTAAAAGAAAATGTATTTCCATAAATTATTCTTTTATTTTTCTTAAGTTACATGTGAACATAATTTTTAAAAACAAGTTAGGCAAGCATATATATATATATATATATATATATATATATATATATATATATGCTATTGTATTGCAGTATAAGATTGACAAGACAGATGTTTGGTGAAACTATGCTAAGTTTTCACCCAAGGAAAAAAGCTGTTTTGAGATAATAAATTTCCATTATTTTTAGAACATTGGTGTATTTTGGGGACATTTGAATAATTTTAGACTTGTTGAATATGTGATAAACAGAAGAAAAATGACATAAAAAGTGAAATAACTAAAAGGAGTGGGATACAAACAACAAACCTCGCAAACTTAGACAAAGGAAGGAAGCAGCAGACTTTCCACTTAGGATTGAATGCTTGACTGCAATGTAAAGGTAAATTTCAGATATGTTGAACTAGGAAACTTAGGCTGTAAATACAGCCACATAAAAATAAAGTAACAGAAAATCAAGCTATGAAGCTATAAGTCAATTTGTTTACTTTTCTGTGGGCATAGCAGTTACTAGATTTCCATCAATTTCTCCATGTCTAGTCTTTAATGGGGATTTAATAAATGTTGCCAAGTTACATTATTATTATAGTATATGCTTTCTCATGATACTCTCCCCACCCAAACCAACAGAATATCAATACTTTGAATTCAAAACTTGTACTTCATGTCTTTGTTTGTCTAGTGCTCATTAACTCCTTAGCTAATTTAATTATTGCTAGTCATATTGAATAACACTTCCTCAGCCATCTGGTGCCATTCGGCTTTTTGGCAGAGAAAACTAGTCTCTAATTTAATATTAGTCTGGACAATTAAAGTTAGAATCATCTACTTACAATATATGCATAATAATAGAGAACCCAATTATAACAAATATGATATTCTTACTCTGCTATATAAAAACCAATAAGATTTCATGGAATTTTATCAGAATCTATAAAATGTGTACAATTCCTATTCTAAGAGTATTTGAAGACCTACTGTTCCATAGAAGTTTAGCAGATGTTTTAACTCTCAATTCTGTCTATTTTAGCTTCTGTTTTAACTCTTTATATATTACTATAACAAAACACTGCAACCAATGCAACTTCTGAAAGAAAATGTTTAATAGGACTGACTTTTAGAGGATTAGTGTACATGATAGATGAACACAGGCATGGCAGCAGAAACAGCTGAAAGCTCAAATCTTGGTACCCAAGCAGAAGAGAGAGACACACTGGGTATAAGTAGCATCTGCTGAAATACCAAAGGCCAGAACAGTGACATATCTCTTCCAATTAGGTCAAACCACATAATCCTTGCCAAATAGTTCCATGAACTGGGGACAAGCAATTCAAACATATGAGACTATGGACACCATTCTCATTCAAACCACATTACAAATCCGTTTCATAATCTACATGGTTTATTCATTTCATAGCATAAGAAATAGATGGTTAAAGTCTTTTTTATTGCTCATAGATTAATACCTCAGATCTAACTTGCATTGTATCAGTTACTCATGGAATAAATATTTTATTTTAGATATATATGCCAAAATACTTTAAATATTATAATAATATATTAAATATATCATTTATGACATTAATAGCATATATAATATTTTGATATTATATACCAAATTTAATGAATGAAATCTGATTGCAATATATATTTACTCATAAAATATAAAATTCCTCAAATTCTCTACATATTATTTCTAATATTAATTGTGAAAAGCTATTACACTGTCATTTTTCTTTAGGGAATTTATCTTTCAATTTTTATTTGCTTTAAGACAGACAAGTGCTAAAGATGCTCGTGGTTTCAGTGTCTCTAGATTGGTTTGGCTGTAAATTTAATATGCATTCTAATTGCAGGCATATGGGGGAATGGTGACAGACATCCTACTGTAGGAGGAATGTCTTGGGGCTGAGAATAGGAAGCAATAAAGAGAATGATTCTGGTGGGATGAGGACACAAGTATAAAGCACATATATAGAGACTGAAAGTATTTTTTTTTTTTATAGACAGTTACATTTTCCCAAGTAAGAACTCTTTATTCTGTACAGCTTTGAAGTTGAAGGCAATTTAGGAAAGCATGCAGTTAGCAAAAAAGACCTCGAAGTAACATCTTACTTTCAACCATTTCTTTCAGTGGGTTACTGCATTTATTTAGGCTTCATTTTTCTGTCTGTGTAAACAAAGAGGATGTTTATACCAGTGAACAGATCCTAAATGCACTTTTACAAATACTGATACATTATTAATGTAAAGGGTATTTAAAACCTTTTTAGAAAGGGAAAAGAAAGAGGGGAGACAGACCAGAGGCTCAACTGTCACTGCCATGACTTTGTAAATGTCAAACACTGAAGTCAAAGCATTTCTTTGCTCTTGTCCCAGTAGTCAAGGATTTTGCTTTACGTGACACAATCAAGTGGTTCATAGTTAAAACATACTCAACATAAGACCTTCTTGTTTTCCCTTTCCCAGGAGTAAATGGCGACACTGTAATTTAGACACTTCTTACATTCAAGAATTTATAGCAATGCAGGCCAATGTGTCTGCAGTGCAGCTGCCTTGTCGTCACCTTTTCATGGAGATTGTTAAATAAAGGAACCATTGTCATTTGAACACCTTTCCCTCTTTTCAATAGGTTTAAGGTTCAGAAAATAAAATGGTTATCAACTCTTAGGCTTTATTTATTGAATATCTGTTTACAATCACTTTCTGTTTCCTTTAACAAAACACTGTCCTTTAACAGACACTTTCATATTTCTAATGGAACTAACACACACACACACACACACACAGAGAGGGAGAGAGAGAGAGAGAGAGAGAGAGAGAGAGAGAGAGAGAGAGAGAGAGAGAGAGAGAGAGAGAGAGAGGAGAGTCATAGAGACATATATATCTCCCTGAGAAAGCATCTCACAATGTAGCCTTGGCCTCAAACCCATGAACTTATTGTTTGACAAAACACAACAAACATATCTGTTCTCCCTAGATCAGGATCCCATGCCACCAAAGTCCAAGGTGGTGAACCAATGATTTTTGGGGGTTTGCTTACAACAGTATGGGTGAGAGGTTAAGTACAGGAGCAGAAATGACTCAAAGACAGTTGCATCACCAAGGCGCCCCCACCCCCAGCACAGGTGGCAGGTCACAAATCTGGAACTTGGAGCACACTGAACAGCTTGCAGACAGCTCTACAGGTTTGGAGAATGTAATTTTCAGGTGTTCCATTTGTTCCAAAACACTTCCAAGATTCTATCTCATCCAAGTGGCATCTGGTCTCCTCTAAAGACTCTTAGCAGCTGGTCTCAGTGTCTTTTGCAGCATAGTTTTTATTTGTTCATTTGCTTGTTTTATTTTATGTTCTGAGTTTTGCCATTGTTTGTTGGAAGTTGCTTGTTTGAGAGATTCTCTACCAGCTCTCATTGCTTACTCTGGCATGAAGGAGTCTGGGGGATCCGGTCAGTTTCAGGACCTTCCTGGAGGTATTTTGAGCTGTTTATCTGCAGTGGCATTTCCATAGCATTTTAAGAAATAAAGCTTGCCTGGGGATCAGGAGAGTAAAATAGCCATACTTCTCAGCCTTACAGCCAGGCAGTGGTAACACACACCTTTAATCCCAGTAGTCACACCAGTTGCCCTTGAAACTGAGTGGTACATGCCTTTAATCCCAGTGGTGCATGTCTTTAATAAGTGAATATGATGGAAAAGTCATTCATTTTGTCAGTCCTCCCTGTACTTCAGACTGTTTCCTTACTTACCTACATCCCCTGTCAGAGGCAGTGGAAATATAGAGCATATGGCAATTGGTAATTCAGATGTCACCTCGCCAGAGGAGGGATTCTCTGTTGGCGGTAAATCCTGTCCAGGAAAGGCCTGCAGAATCATCATCTCTGGAAATTGTTGCTCACTTTT